GAATTTGAGGATGATTAAAATGTTTATTCGCAGTATGTAATTAAAAAGGAAATTTGATATTTCCTTTAGCGATACCGAATAAAAAAGGAAATATCAAATTTGCTTTTTTATTCGGTATCGCTACGAGATGTAATTCTAATGTAGAAACTGTATGAATATTAAAATTAAAATTATCAGCATATTATATAATTCCCACTGACGGTCACATACCGCCTTTTTACTTTAACTATATAGTATATACGTGCTCAAAATAAAGCAAATGCTATAAAGATAGGCATGTTGGGATAAAATGCAATGTAAAAGAGATGTTGGATGGTATGCAATGTAAAAGAGACGAGAGATAAACGTTACCAGAAACAAACAATTTGACTATAGATTAATGATAAGTTATCGCGCGCTCTGACTAGATACCGCGCTCTGACTAGATACCGCGCTCCCTGCACGTAACAGCTCCGTGACTGCGGCATCCTAATATTGTAGTGTGTATAAGACAATTTGCATGATGCTAGTGTGCGTGAAAAATTGAATATGCCAGCAGCTTAACTATTACCCGATTAACGGGAAAATTTATTTTATGCTATGGCTTAGTAGTAAAGTTCATAGTTATGAATGTATTCCAGAAATACTTATTTTATTTATTTTATTTTATATTATTAGGGATAACAACAGCCTTCATTCTGTGATACATAATTCTTATATAATATGTCTTTACATAGGGCCAATAACAGTCATCCACTTTTTACAATTTAGCATGAATCAGAAGTAAGAAAAGAAAAGTAACAAAAACTTTGATCAAAAACAATACTAAGTTTGTCATGGCTGATCTAGGAAAATATATATGCTTTAATAAGATAATATAATATATATACATATATACACATACATATACATACACACACATACACATATGTAGACATACATCGACATCACATATAATCAAATTTATTTAAATACTTATGCATATAGGTAAACATATATATACAAACATAAAATAAATAAATATACATACAATATACCCACGTACACACGTATACACACATTACACACATACACACACATTATATAAAATTCCTTTTAGGTCAATTAGCAAATTGGACATCTAAATTGAGATGCTACTAAACTACTTAAAAATGAATAGTTTATTAATAACGAATGTATCAACATATTTGTGCATATTATATATAGGTGTTTCTTTTGAATAAATGACATATAAATGATAAGGCCTCCTTTTTATCAGTTTAATTTTTTATTTACATGTCTAACTAATATTCACAAATTATTTAAAAAAAAATAGTTATATATATGGTGTAATCAAAATAGGGTTTCTATTCTACGCGTCAATATGAACAACTTTTACTATAGATCTATCTTCTTAATCGCAAGAAAAATCAGATCTTTCGAAATTTTGTAGGGAATATCTGACTTTGAGATATTTTTATAGGATCAGGGTGACAAATGAGCACTCAGTCCACCTGATGGTAAGTAGTTGCTGTGGCCCATAGACATATACATCTATCCTCGGTTAAGAATCAAAATGCAGATGCGTTGTAACCCCTGAGGACTAAGATGGAATGCCTCGTTTCCAGTAAAAAGGGTCTCCGGTTCTCTACACTCACCATAGGAAACACAGCAGCGTTAAGCTCCTATTTTACACTGAAATTCTGTGAGAGCGTGGTCCGTCCCCGGTCGTGCTGACCCATTCGTGCTATAACTATACCAGTAATATAGCTGCTGTATGGGTCTATCACGTATAAATTGAAAATTTTATAAATGATCCCATAATAAAAAATATTCATGTTGACGGGCAAAATCATTCCCTAAGTTATTAAGTACTATTTTGTTACACCTTTAGTTATTATATAAGACTGGGGAAAAAGTTTCTTCGTATATTGTATACAAATTCAAGAGGTTTTTGTTTTAAAGTTTTATTACATTTAATTATAATATATATGGGTCCATTCTGTTCGATAATTTGTTACCATCTTGTAGGTAGTGACATAATAAAAAATAAACATTGCTGTAGAAATCTTGGGATTTTGATTAAAAAAATGCGACAAGTAGTTTTATTTGATATATGCAATACCAGAGATTTGAAGGAACATGGATTTAGTCATTCCATTTATAACGGAAAAAAAATCATAAACTTAAATATTAAAACCTCCAGAAAGCTTTCTTTTAAAGAACACAAGCAACAAAAGAAAATAATGACTAAAACTTTTAAGCCAGTTTTAAGTACTCAAGCAAATACTGGATTTTTAGGAATGTTAGTGTGTATTGAAAGTTTCAAATAGATAACTAATCTTGTGATCTGGCGTTATCATGATAAAAGACCACTCCTTTTCTGATTATCAATGCCAGTTTTTTTTTCTATTTCTTGCTTGTCTCATTATTTATTGGTAGTAGAGATCCGAATCGATGGTATTATCCGGCGGTAAAAGCTCATGATAAACTTTCAATACCACCATACATACATCATCATTTTATTGCGTGTTAATCCATGTTTTGCTTTAGTCTGTAAACAAAACACATATCAATACAGAAAAAAATCACTTCAATCAAATCACACACAAAATGACTTTTTTGGGTCCTTTAATATTTTACTTGTTTTCTTTTTTATTTTATGTTGTTCTAGCAGCAATATAAATACACATTCTGTGAAAATTCAACATATTACGGTTCATAAGATACAGCCTACTGACAGACAGACGGAACGATAGCGGAGACTTGGGTCTCGTTGATACTCTTTGGGTACGGAACCCTAATAAATGGCCATTATGTCATTTTAACAATACTACAGAAATGAACATTAAATAATATAGAATTAGGTTATATTATAATAAGTTTAATATATTATATTATAAAATATAGTAACAATAAATTCACATATAAAAATCTCAGCCACGGGGAACTTTATTATTGCATTCGCCGCAACACTGAATACCGTCATTGATATTTTGTGACTTATTTATGGCTCGTGTTATTTTGTTAAAATTTCGAAATTGTATGATACTTAATGATAGTATGTGATTCCAGTGTCTTTCTTATTTCTTGTGGTATTATTTTTACACAGTTTCAATACGTATTTTACTTCGGATTATGACCAAAATTAAATAAAACATTCGGTATGTTCACCTCACAAGTTGTCTGCAACGCGATTGGCTCGGGTACGCCGATTTTAGCGTAGTATTTGTTGCGGCATTTTACATGAGCGCCGGCGGTATCTAGTCAGAGCGCGCGATGACTTATCATTAATCTATGCAATTTGACATTGTTTGTGTCTGGTAGCGTCTATTATTCATTTACATAAACACAGTAGAAGGAATAGAAAGTTCAGTCAGGATAAGGAAAAACGTGAACGTATGTAAGCGTTGTCATTTATAATTCACTTACTTCAATGGAAAAAAACTATAAAACTTTCGTACCTTGCACTAATACTAGACAATTCAATAACGTGTGAGGTATGTGGTCGTAAAAATCGTATTCTTGAAATGCCTATATCTTGCGATTGAATTTCAATGTTAAGTAATTGTGCACGACGCAACAATATTAAACAAACGAAAGAAAATGCTTATTGTAACCGGCGCTAGTTGAACACCTAGGAGCGGTGGGCGGAGCCATGACGACGGTGTAATTATCAGGCCACGCCTCTGGTTCGACAACTAGCAAGGGTTATACGGCGGGACTAGCGCAACCTTATGTTGAATTTAAATTATAATTTGTGTAAATAATTGTATTACTTGTATCGAACGATAAAAAATAATGATTGTATTATAACTAAGTTTAAGGTTGAGTTGTAACTGTGCAATAACTCTCCCAAATAAAGGCACCGTATGAACAGGGAGAGTTAGCATAGTCTTCTAATGAAAACTGTAATTGTTAAATATAATAAATGTTTACTTTATTATATAATAAATATATTAGGCCGTTAGGCACATAAAATAATAGTAGTAGTGTAACCAAAGAGCATGTTATCGTGACGCGGCCGCGGAGCAAATGAAGCCACGCGCACCGCGCCACGACGTTTTATATTTATAGTGCTGAGGCGGGGGGAAGGATTCTCCGCCTAAAGCAGCTGAAAATTATAATGTAAACCTGTAAATAAGTAAAAATATTGATATGTACACCCTAGTCTAACAAGTAGTTATAAGAATATTATATAGTGAATTATGTTTATTAGTTTGTAAGGTTATTAAATAAATAAAGATAGGCGCGGGGGTGAGGCAAGGGTCCGCTGGCCAGCAGCGGCCAAATCATATAAAAGACGGGCCGGCCGCTAGGGTCAGCAGTCGCTCTCCAGCCACCGAAAAGGCACCAGCAAGAAAAGAAAAAGTACAAGTTCCTCCTCACCGCCGCTTGCCTCCAGTTAAAAGCAAGACCAGCGCGTTTTATTCCATTTTTCGCACGGCATTACGGCGATCCGTAATATTAATGGTCCTTCGAGAAGCCGGATTACTAGAAGAAAAAGACAATATCGGTCTTGGTATTGCCGGAAGAAAGAAGCAAACCGCAAGAACGAAAAAATATTATTGTGAAGAAAAATGGTGATTACGCGTAGTAACAACGGAGAATCATCGAAGCGTCGCAAGGATGAACAAACAACCCAGGGGGCCACAGAAGAGGCCTCCGGGGGCGACTCAGCCGCTAGTGGTTCAACAAACACCACTAGCGAAACCACAACGGTCAGCAATACGACCGCTACCTCGGCAACCGATAGAACAACCGCAACGGAAGAAACCCAGCAAGAGGGTGATCAAAGATCGCAGTGCACATTGAAGCCCGGCGAGACTAGGTCACGCCGCTCCGTAGCCTCACGCAAGAGACTCCTCGCGGAGTTAGAGGCGAAAGAGCGGTTAGCCGAACTCAAGCTCGAGCAGGCTCAGTTGCAAGCAAGAACAGAATTGCAAGAAATACACGTGCAGCGACTACAAGCAGAAGCCGGATCAACCGATGAAGATGAAGAAATAGAAGACGATTTGGCATCAGTGTGCATTAGTACATGGTTGCAAGAAAAACCTACATCGCAACCCGCGCCTCAGCCCGCGCCACAACCCGCGCCACAACCCGCGCCACAACCCGCGCCACAACCCGCGCCGCAGCCCGCGCCGCAACCCACGTCGTACTTCGCGCCGCAACCAGCACTGCAGATCGCACCACCCGTACTTCAACAGTGTGCGCCGCAATACGCTCCGCAACATACCGCGCCGCAGAAAGAAGACTATGGACAGGCGCAGCAGCAAATCGACGTCGCTACCTTAGCCGCTGCTCTATCACAAGCAGTACGAAGCACAAGGGAGCCGCCGAAATATATACAAGAGCTGCCCTCATTCAATGGTAGCAGCAAGGAGTGGCTCAGCTTCAAGACAATGTACGAAGAATCTTCAAAGTACTTCACGGCGAACGAAAACATAGCGAGAATACGCCGAAGCTTAAAAGGGACAGCAAAAGAAGCCGCAGGTTGCCTGCTTATAAGCCAACCAGATCCCAGAATTATAATAGAAGCTTTGGAAAGGAGATTCGGACGACCAGAAGCGTTAATTCACTTGGAAATAGAGAAGCTGAAGCTGCTGAACAAAGTTACGGACAATCCCAGGGAGCTATGCATATTCGCAAATCGCATAGCGAACGTAGTGGGCACCGTGGAAGCACTCAAGAAAGCACACTATCTGCATAGTCCAGAAATGACGCGAGTTATCACAGACAAACTCACGCCCATATTGAAAAGCAAATGGTACGACTATGCAGCCAGAAAGAAAGAAGATATCCCAGAGCTTAAGAAGATATCAATGTTCTTAAACGAAGAAGCGGATAAATGCAGCGCGTATGCCTTGCCGGAGTTCATCGCAGAGGACAGCGAAACGAGAGAGCGAAGACCGAGAAAAATAGAACGTGCCTTCGCCACAAGCAAGAAACCATATGAAGAACGCTGCCCTCAATGCAAACAAGAACACAAACTGCCCGATTGCAAGTCATACGCCGCTCTGTCCACAAATGACAGATGGGAAGTAGCAAAGAAGTACAATATCTGCTACCGCTGTCTGCGAGACAAACATCGTCGATTACTGTGCAAAGCTCCACCGTGCGGAAAAGGCGGATGCATGATGAAACACCATAAATTGTTGCATCACGTCAGAACAGCAGTAATGGAAAAAGAACCCGCTATGGAAACCGCAACATCGGCAAAGGAGGTCAACACAGCGACTCGACCGTACAAGCACCGCCGCGCTTACCTAAAGATTGCGCCCGTAACAATAAGGGGGCCGCTAAGCTGCGTCGAAACATACGCATTATTGGATGAAGGGAGCACGGTCACCTTAGTCGATGCCTCAATCGCCGACATCATCGGCGCCGACGGCCCAGCCCACACAATGTGGATACAAGGGGTCGGCTCGGAGGTGAAACACGAGAAGAGCAAGATCGTCAGCTTTAAAATAAGAGGAACGTACGCGCAAGAAGAACACAACATAGAAGCAGCGCGTACTGTAGAGCGGTTGGACTTCGCGCCAGAATCCGTGAATGAAGATCACTTGGGGAATTGCCCACATCTGTTGGATATCAAAGAGGATATCACCTACGAACGCGCCTCACCGAAAGTACTAATCGGGCAAGATAACTGACACCTCATAGTGTCTAGAAAACTGCGCGTCGGCCGTCGAGACCAACCAGTCGCCTCATACACCAACCTGGGCTGGGTTCTGCATGGCTGTCATAGCTCATTGACGTCGACGGTCACCTTCTGCGGCAGACTACATCAGAGGGAAGATGCACCACCGATAGAAGAAGAAATAAAAAATTATTTCAAATTGGAGTCGCTGTGCATCGAGCCGAGAAGACCGAAAGAAGATCCCGAGCAGCGAGCCATGCAAATATTGGACGAAACCAGCCAGAGGTCAGCGGACGGCAGATTCGAGACAGGGTTGTTGTGGAAACAAAAGGACTTCCAAATACCAAATAATTATAAAGAAGCGGAAAGGCGCCTGCACACCTTAGAGAAGAGGCTCGACCGAGACAGCAATCTCAAGCTACAGTACGAAGAACGCATCGAGAACCTCTTCAACTCGGGTTACGCAGAGCGCGCGCCAATGCCACCGCCGCAAGGAAGGACATGGTATCTGCCACACTTCCCAGTCATCAACCCTGCGAAACCGAACAAGCCGCCGAGATTGGTACACGACGCCGCAGCGAAGACAGCCGGAATATGTCTCAACGATATGCTTCACTCGGGGCCCGACTTATTACAATCACTGCCCGGAGTGATCATGAGGTTCCGACAGTATCCGTATGCAGTGAGCGCCGATATAAAAGAAATGTTCATGCAGATTAAAGTGCGCAAAGAAGATAGAGACGTTTTACGTTTCTTGTGGAGAGGCAAGCGGCGGGAGGACCAACCGGAGGAATATAGGATGACGTCAATCATCTTTGGAGCGACATCATCACCATGCACAGCATTATACATCAAAAATAAAAATGCTGAAGAACATGCAGAAGCGTACCCAGAAGCTGCGGTCGCCATAAAAAGAAACCATTATATGGACGACTACTTGCAGAGCTTCCACTCTGTCACGGAAGCTCAGCAAACAGTAAAAGCAGTCGATCACGTCCACAAACAAGCGGGATTCGTACTCAGCGGGTGGACATCGAACGAAGAAAAAACAATAGAAGAAATAACGACAGAGCATAGACAACACGACGCGACCGTGTGCCTGGGCGGAAAAGAAACTGAGAAGACGCTAGGGCTGCTCTGGCATGTACAAAGCGATCATATTGGATTCAATACTAACAATATGAGGATGCCTGCCGACGTAAAAGAAAAACAACGCTTGCCAACTAAACGAGAAGCGTTGAGCGTCATAATGGCATTATTTGATCCGCTGGGGTTAATATCACCGGTGACCACCCCAGCGAAGAGAATATTTCAAGACACATGGCGTTACAAGGCGGACTGGGACGACCCTCTGCCAACAGAATTAAAAGAAAAATGGGAAGGCTGGATTACTTCACTTAACGCCATAGAACAACTAAGAATACCGCGATGCTACGATTACAACCCGGTGTCGACGCGCCAACTACACACATTCGTCGACGCAAGCGAGGAGGCCTACGCAGCAGCAGTGTATTGGAGAACGGAGCGAGCAGACGGCAGCGTTAACATATCATTGGCCGCCGCCAAGAGCCGCGTAACACCACTGAAACCAGTTTCCATACCACGGCTCGAGTTACAAGCGGCACTGCTGGGAGCTCGTCTTGCGCAGACCGTGATCGATGAACACGATGGCGACATAGCAGGCAAGACATACTGGTGCGACTCCCGTACTGCACTGGTGTGGATAAGATCGGAGCCTCGCGCGTACAAAGCTTTCGTCGCTCATCGCCTGGCGGAGATAGAAGATACGACCAAAAAAAACGAATGGCGTTGGCTACCGTCTAAAGAAAACGTGGCAGACGACGCAACCCGAGCCACACCAGAAGGGTTCGACGAGTCGCACCGATGGTTCCGAGGGCCCCCGTTTCTGCAGCGTCCACCGGCAGAATGGCCGCAGGAAGAGAAAACGACACAATATGACACCGGGGAAGAGCGAGAAATATGTAACATCGCTGTTAAAAGTGAAGACTCGACAACAACACATCTTCCACAGATAGGAAGATTTTCTAAATGGATTCGCCTCATAAGGGCGACAGCGAGAGTCCTCCTATTCATCGACATGTGCAGACCAAACAAGCACGTAGTGAAGGCTGGGCGTAAACGCAACAAAGCAAGACAAGGTAGCGACCCTGGCTGGCAGAGAACAAACAAACGCAACACCCCCGCCAAGGAGAAAAAGGCGACTCCTACTGCCTCATCGCTTGTAGGAATACCGGCCGCTTATCATATGAGAGCCGAACAACTGTGGGTGCAAGCCAGTCAGCGGGAAAGCTTCACGAAGGAGCTCAAGAGAATCACCAGCGGAAGTGTTCCGGGAGGCGACGACAAACTAGGCCACCTGAGCACATACATTGATGAAGAGGGGACCCTACGCCTCAGAGGTCGAATAAAAGCGGCATCAGAAGTGGAGGACGACATGTACGACCCTCCCATATTAGACGGGAAGCACGCATACACTCGCCTGTATATAGCACACGTACACGAGAGGCTGCATCACGGAGGCGTGGAAACAGTTGTGAATGAATTAAGACAGAGATTGTACGTAAGAAAAATACGTCCAGTAGTGAAAACTGTCGTCAAAGGATGCCTGCCGTGCCGTCTAAGAAAAGCCAAGCCTGCATCACCGTCTACAGGAAACCTGCCGTCCGCACGCCTCGCTCATCACGCACGTCCGTTCACATACACCGGACTAGACTACTTCGGGCCAATAGAAGTCACAGTGGGACGACATCGCGAAAAGCGCTATGGCGCGTTATTTACCTGCATGACGTCGCGAGCAATACACATAGAAGTAGCCCACTCGTTGAGCGCAGACTCAGCCGTGTCGGCACTTAGGCGTTTTATGAGCAGAAGAGGATGCCCAAAAGAAATATGGAGTGACAACGCTACGTGCTTCAAGGCAGCAGACAAGGAGATGGCCGAAGCAGCACTCGCAGCCCTCGAGCACGAAACCACGTGTCAACAGATTGTGTGGAAGTACATACCGCCATCAGCACCGTTCATGGGCGGCGTATGGGAGCGAATGGTTCGCTCCGTAAAAGAAGCCCTACGCGTCACCCTCAACGAGCGCTATCCCAGCGACGAAACATTGGGGACCCTGCTCGCCGAGGTCGAAAATACTGTAAACTCCAGACCTCTCACACACGTCTCAGTCGACCCAGGAGACCCTGAAGCCATCACGCCGAAACACATCCTCATCGGTCCCAACTCGCACGTACCTGCGCCGGGACACTTCAGCAAGAATGACGTGACGGCCCGCCAGCAATGGAAACGAGCTCAAGCCCTAGCCGACGTGTTTTGGAGAAGATGGGTTAAAGAATACCTGCCCCTACTCCAACACCGGCGGGAGCCCAGCAGCATAGGAGTATCGCCGAAGATTGGAGACCTAGTCATCATTTGTGACTCCAATCTACCACGCAACACCTGGCCCAGAGGGAAAATAAGTAAGGTATATCCTGGCGTCGACGGAGAGGTACGAGTAGTGGACGTAACCACCGGCAGTGGGCACATACTAAGAAGACCAACGAAGAAGATCGTCGTGCTACCAGAGGGATCGCAGCGTGGCGACGGCGGGAGAATGTGCACGACGCAACAATATTAAACAAACGAAAGAAAATGCTTATTGTAACCGGCGCTAGTTGAACAACCTAGGAGCGGTGGGCGGAGCCATGACGACGGTGTAATTATCAGGCCACGCCTCTGGTTCGACAACTAGCAAGGGTTATACGGCGGAACTAGCGCAACCTTATGTTGAATTTAAATTATAATTTGTGTAAATAATTGTATTACTTGTATCGAACGATAAAAAATAATGATTGTATTATAACTAAGTTTAAGGTTGAGTTGTAACTGTGCAATAACTCTCCCAAATAAAGGCACCGTATGAACAGGGAGAGTTAGCATAGTCTTCAAATGAAAACTGTAATTGTTAAATATAATAAATGTTTACTTTATTATATAATAAATATATTAGGCCGTTAGGCACATAAAATAATAGTAGTAGTGTAACCAAAGAGCATGTTATCGTGACGCGGCCGCGGAGCAAATGAAGCCACGCGCACCGCGCCACGACGTTTTATATTTATAGTGCTGAGGCGGGGGGAAGGATTCTCCGCCTAAAGCAGCTGAAAATTATAATGTAAACCTGTAAATAAGTAAAAATATTGATATGTACACCCTAGTCTAACAAGTAGTTATAAGAATATTATATAGTGAATTATGTTTATTAGTTTGTAAGGTTATTAAATAAATAAAGATAGGCGCGGGGGTGAGGCAAGGGTCCGCTGGCCAGCAGCGGCCAAATCATATAAAAGACGGGCCGGCCGCTAGGGTCAGCAGTCGCTCTCCAGCCACCGAAAAGGCACCAGCAAGAAAAGAAAAAGTACAAGTTCCTCCTCACCGCCGCTTGCCTCCAGTTAAAAGCAAGACCAGCGCGTTTTATTCCATTTTTCGCACGGCATTACGGCGCTCCGTAATAATATTATATAGTGAATTATGTTTATTAGTTTGTAAGGTTATTAAATAAATAAAGATAGGCGCGGGGGTGAGGCAAGGGTCCGCTGGCCAGCAGCGGCCAAATCATATAAAAGACGGGCCGGCCGCTAGGGTCAGCAGTCGCTCTCCAGCCACCGAAAAGGCAAGAAAAGAAAAAGTACAAGTTCCTCCTCACCGCCGCTTGCCTCCAGTTAAAAGCAAGACCAGCGCGTTTTTATTCCATTTTTCGCACGGCATTACGGCGATCCGTAATATTAATGGTCCTTCGAGAAGCCGGATTACTAGAAGAAAAAAACAATATCGGTCTTGGTATTGCCGGAAGAAAGAAGCAAACCGCAAGAACGAAAAAATATTGTTGTGAAGAAGAATGGTGATTACGCGTAGTAACAACGGAGAATCATCGAAGCGTCGCAAGGATGAACAAACAACCCAGGGGGCCACAGAAGAGGCCTCCGGGGGCGACTCAGCCGCTAGTGGTTCAACAAACACCACTAGCGAAACCACAACGGTCAGCGATACGACCGCTACCTCGGCAACCGATAGAACAACCGCAACGGAAGAAACCCAGCAAGAGGGTGATCAAAGATCGCAGTGCACATTGAAGCCCGGCGAGACTAGGTCACGCCGCTCCGTAGCCTCACGCAAGAGACTCCTCGCGGAGTTAGAGGCGAAAGAGCGGTTAGCCGAACTCAAGCTCGAGCAGGCTCAGTTGCAAGCAAGAACAGAATTGCAAGAAATACACGTGCAGCGACTACAAGCAGAAGCCGGATCAACCGATGAAGATGAAGAAATAGAAGACGATTTGGCATCAGTGCGCATTAGTACATGGTTGCAAGAAAAACCTACGCCTCAGCCTACGCCTCAGCCCGCGCCACAACCCGCGCCACAACCCGCGCCGCAGCCCGCGCCGCAACCCACGTCGTACTTCGCGCCGCAACCAGCACTGCAGATCGCACCACCCGTACTTCAACAGTGTGCGCCGCAATACGCTCCGCAACATACCACGCCGCAGAAAGAAGACTATGGACAGGCGCAGCAGCAAATCGACGTCGCTACCTTAGCCGCTGCTCTATCACAAGCAGTACGAAGCACAAGGGAGCCGCCGAAATATATACAAGAGCTGCCCTCATTCAATGGTAGCAGCAAGGAGTGGCTCAGCTTCAAGACAATGTACGAAGAATCTTCAAAGTACTTCACGGCGAACGAAAACATAGCGAGAATACGCCGAAGCTTAAAAGGGACAGCAAAAGAAGCCGCAGGTTGCCTACTTATAAGCCAACCAGATCCCAGAATTATAATAGAAGCTTTGGAAAGGAGATTCGGACGACCAGAAGCGTTAATTCACTTGGAAATAGAGAAGCTGAAGCTGCTGAACAAAGTTACGGACAATCCCAGGGAGCTATGCATATTCGCAAATCGCATAGCGAACGTAGTGGGCACCGTGGAAGCACTCAAGAAAGCACACTATCTGCATAGTCCAGAAATGACGCGAGTTATCACAGACAAACTCACGCCCATATTGAAAAGCAAATGGTACGACTATGCAGCCAGAAAGAAAGAAGATATCCCAGAGCTTAAGAAGATATCAATGTTCTTAAACGAAGAAGCGGACAAATGCAGCGCGTATGCCTTGCCGGAGTTCATCGCAGAGGACAGCGAAACGAGAGAGCGAAGACCGAGAAAAATAGAACGTGCCTTCGCCACAAGCAAGAAACCATATGAAGAACGCTGCCCTCAATGCAAACAAGAACACAAACTGCCCGATTGCAAGTCATACGCCGCTCTGTCCACAAATGACAGATGGGAAGTAGCAAAGAAGAATAATATATGCTACCGCTGTCTGCGAGGCAAACATCGCCGATTGCTGTGCAAAGCTCCACCGTGCGGAAAAGGCGGATGCATGATGAAACACCATAAATTGTTGCATCACGACAGAACAGCAGTAATGGAAAAAGAACCCGCTATGGAAACCGCAACATCGGCAAAGGAGGTCAACACAGCGACTCGACCGTACAAGCACCGCCGCGCTTACCTAAAGATTGCGCCCGTAACAATAAGGGGGCCGCTAAGCTGCGTCGAAACATACGCATTATTGGATGAAGGGAGCACGGTCACCTTAGTCGATGCCTCAATCGCCGACGTCATCGGCGCCGACGGCCCAGCCCACACAATGTGGATACAAGGGGTCGGCTCGGAGGTGAAACACGAGAAGAGCAAGATCGTCAGCTTTAAAATAAGAGGAACGTACGCGCAAGAAGAACACAACATAGAAGCAGCGCGTACTGTAGAGCGGTTGGACTTCGCGCCAGAATCCGTGAATGAAGATCACTTGGGGAATTGCCCACATCTGTTGGATATCAAAGAGGATATCACCTACGAACGCGCCTCACCGAAAGTACTAATCGGGCAAGATAACTGGCACCTCATAGTGTCTAGAAAACTGCGCGTCGGCCGTCGAGACCAACCAGTCGCCTCATACACCAACCTGGGCTGGGTTCTGCATGGCTGTCATAGCTCATTGACGTCGACGGTCACCTTCTGCGGCAGACTACATCAGAGGGAAGATGCACCACCGATAGAAGAAGAAATAAAAAATTATTTCAAATTGGAGTCGCTGTGCATCGAGCCGAGAAGACCGAAAGAAGATCCCGAGCAGCGAGCCATGCAAATATTGGACGAAACCAGCCAGAGGTCAGCGGACGGCAGATTCGAGACAGGGTTGTTGTGGAAACAAAAGGACTTCCAAATACCAAATAATTATAAAGAAGCGGAAAGGCGCCTGCACACCTTAGAGAAGAGGCTCGACCGAGACAGCAATCTCAAGCTACAGTACGAAGAACGCATCGAGAACCTCTTCAACTCGGGTTACGCAGAGCGCGCGCCAATGCCACCGCCGCAAGGAAGGACATGGTATCTGCCACACTTCCCAGTCATCAACCCTGCGAAACCGAACAAGCCGCCGAGATTGGTACACGACGCCGCAGCGAAGACAGCCGGAATATGTCTCAACGATATGCTTCACTCGGGGCCCGACTTATTACAATCACTGCCCGGAGTGATCATGAGGTTCCGACAGTATCCGTATGCAGTGAGCGCCGATATAAAAGAAATATGTAACATCGCTGTTAAAAGGGAAGACTCGACAACAACACATCTTCCACAGATAGGAAGATTTTCTAAATGGATTCGCCTCATAAGGGCGACAGCGAGAGTCCTCCTATTCATCGACATGTGCAGACCAAACAAGCACGTAGTGAAGGCTGGGCGTAAACGCAACAAAGCAAGACAAGGTAGCGACCCTGGCTGGCAGAGAACAAACAAACGCAACACCCCCGCCAAGGAGAAAAAGGCGACTCCTACTGCCTCATCGCTTGTAGGAATACCGGCCGCTTATCATATGAGAGCCGAACAACTGTGGGTGCAAGCCAGTCAGCGGGAAAGCTTCACGAAGGAGCTCAAGAGAATCACCAGCGGAAGTGTTCCGGGAGGCGACGACAAACTAGGCCACCTGAGCACATACATTGATGAAGAGGGGACCCTACGCCTCAGAGGTCGAATAAAAGCGGCATCAGAAGTGGAGGACGACATGTACGACCCTCCCATATTAGACGGGAAGCACGCATACACTCGCCTGTACATAGCACACGTACACGAGAGGCTGCATCACGGAGGCGTAGAAACAGTTGTGAATGAATTAAGACAGATATTGTACGTAAGAAAAATACGTCCAGTAGTGAAAACTGTCGTCAAAGGATGCCTGCCGTGCCGTCTAAGAAAAGCCAAGCCTGCATCACCGTCTACAGGAAACCTGCCGTCCGCACGCCTCGCTCATCACGCACGTCCGTTCACATACACCGGACTAGACTACTTCGGGCCAATAGAAGTCACAGTGGGACGACATCGCGAAAAGCGCTATGGCGCGTTATTTACCTGCATGACGTCGCGAGCAATACACATAGAAGTAGCCCACTCGTTGAGCGCAGACTCAGCCGTGTCGGCACTTAGGCGTTTTATGAGCAGAAGAGGATGCCCAAAAGAAATATGGAGTGACAACGCTACGTGCTTCAAGGCAGCAGACAAGGAGATGGCCGAAGCAGCACTCGCAGCCCTCGAGCACGAAACCACGTGTCAACAGATTGTGTGGAAGTACATACCGCCATCAGCACCGTTCATGGGCGGCGTATGGGAGCGAATGGTTCGCTCCGTAAAAGAAGCCCTACGCGTCACCCTCAACGAGCGCTATCCCAGCGACGAAACATTGGGGACCCTGCTCGCCGAGGTCGAAAATACTGTAAACTCCAGACCTCTCACACACGTCTCAGTCGACCCAGGAGACCCTGAAGCCATCACGCCGAATCACATCCTCATCGGTCCCAACTCGCACGTACCTGCGCCGGGACACTTCAGCAAGAATGACGTGACGGCCCGCCAGCAATGGAAACGAGCTCAAGCCCTAGCCGACGTGTTTTGGAGAAGATGGGTTAAAGAATACCTGCCCCTACTCCAACACCGGCGGGAGCCCAGCAGCATAGGAGTATCGCCGAAGATTGGAGACCTAGTCATCATTTGTGACTCCAATCTACCACGCAACACCTGGCCCAGAGGGAAAATAAGTAAGGTATATCCTGGCGTCGACGGAGAGGTACGAGTAATGGACGTAACCACCGGCAGTGGGCACATACTAAGAAGACCAACGAAGAAGATCGTCGTACTACCAGAGGGATCGCAGCGTGGCGACGGCGGGAGAATGTGCACGACGCAACAATATTAAACAAACGAAAGAAAATGCTTATTGTAACCGGCGCTAGTTGAACAACCTAGGAGCGGTGGGCGGAGCCATGACGACGGTGTAATTATCAGGCCACGCCTCTGGTTCGACAACTAGCAAGGGTTATACGGCGGGACTAGCGCAACCTTATGTTGAATTTAAATTATAATTTGTGTAAATAATTGTATTACTTGTATCGAACGATAAAAAATAATGATTGTATTATAACTAAGTTTAAGGTTGAGTTGTAACTGTGCAATAACTCTCCCAAATAAAGGCACCGTATGAACAGGGAGAGTTAGCATAGTCTTCTAATGAAAACTGTAATTGTTAAATATAATAAATGTTTACTTTATTATATAATAAATATATTAGGCCGTTAGGCACATAAAATAATAGTAGTAGTGTAACCAAAGAGCATGTTATCGTGACGCGGCCGCGGAGCAAATGAAGCCACGCGCACCGCGCCACGACGTTTTATATTTATAGTGCTGAGGCGGGGGGAAGGATTCTCCGCCTAAAGCAGCTGAAAATTATAATGTAAACCTGTAAATAAGTAAAAATATTGATATGTACACCCTAGTCTAACAAGTAGTTATAAGAATATTATATAGTGAATTATGTTTATTAGTTTGTAAGGTTATTAAATAAATAAAGATAGGCGCGGGGGTGAGGCAAGGGTCCGCTGGCCAGCAGCGGCCAAATCATATAAAAGACGGGCCGGCCGCTAGGGTCAGCAGTCGCTCTCCAGCCACCGAAAAGGCACCAGCAAGAAAAGAAAAAGTACAAGTTCCTCCTCACCGCCGCTTGCCTCCAGTTAAAAGCAAGACCAGCGCGTTTTATTCCATTTTTCGCACGGCATTACGGCGATCCGTAATAGTAATAATAGATTAACTATAGTATTCAACCTTAAAATACGTTTTAAGGCTTCTGTTATAATACAGTTTCAAATAAATAACAATTTCACAAAGGCATTTTAACCCGTATTAATTTTTATGTTGCGGCGTCGTTATTTCATATATGTTTATTTTATATTATAATAATATATAAATAAAATGAATTTTTTATTGTCTAACACGAACACCATTTTTAGAAAAGCTTGAGAAGAAATAATGATATCGTCTCCTACTCGTATCTTATTGCAATCGAAGCCCAATCTAAAATATTAAAATTAAAGTCCTAACAGCGGGTGAAATGCCTAAATTTTTGGATATTTAAGTAAAAAAAATCACAATAACTGTTCATTTAATCCGCAAAGAAAAAATACAGGGTGACAGAAGAGGATTTGCTAAATGGATGAAAAAAATTGTATTCTTGACAACCCTTTATTGGAAAAAAAATCCCCAAAGAGTCTTTGTCATATTTTGTAAAATTCTCCAAAATGGCACAAGCTCTTTAAATAGTTAGTTATTATACTAAAAAAAAGATCTTAAAATATTAATATTTTTAATTGAGAGTCTTATTTTTTTATAGGAGAGGGGGCAAACGAGCATACGGCTCACCTGATGGTGACTACCGCCGCCCATGAACAACTGCAACACCAGGGGAACCAGGGGAATTGCAGATGCGTTGCCAGCCGTTTAAAAAGGAGTAGGCTCTTTTCTTGAAGGTCCCTAAGTCGTATCGGTCCGGAAAAATCGCTGATGGTAATCGGTTCCACAAAGAAGTGGTACGAGGAAGAAAACTCCTAGTAAAACATACAGTCGTGGACCGCCAAGCCTCCAGATGGTGAGGATGGTATTGGGAGTTCTGCCGCGATGTGCGTTCGTGAAATTTGGCGGCTGGGATTAATCGGAACAATTCCTCAGAGCACTCCCCGTGGTAAATGCGAAAGAAAATGCAAAGGGATGCAATATCTCTTCGCAGTGCCAATGAATCAAGCCAATCGGAAAAGACTCGGTCGTCGCTGGATGCGGTAAAGTGGAAGGAGCTGGCACTGGGGAGCCCCTGCCCAGAGTTGGGAACAGTATTCCATCTGAGGCCGAACCTGCACCTTGTAAAGTTGCAGGCGGTGTGCCGGCATGAAATATTGTCCCGTTATGCTCAGCACGCCAAGCTTTTTAGAGGCCAATTTTTCCTTCTCTTCTTATTTTTATTTTTATTTTTATTTTTCTTTATAGGATAAGGGTGGAGCACACAGTCCACCTGATGGTAAGTAGTTGCTGTGACCCATAGACATCTACATATATTTTTGATTACGAATCAAAATGCAGATAAGTTGTCACCCGTGAAGACTAAGATGGAATGCCTCATTTCCAGTAAAAAGGGTCTCCGGTTCTCTACAATGACCATACGAAACACAGCAGCGTTAAGCTGCTATTTTACGCTGGTATTCTGTGAGAGCGTGGTCCTTCCCCGACCGAGCCGACCCATTCGTGCTACAACCATAACATAGCTGCAGCATGGCTCTATCACGTAAAAATATTAGTATTCCCCGTTTTACTAGAGAAAATATAATTTTCCCCAAATTGAATATATTAGCGCGAGGGTGCCTACTCCGTCTCCCTGTAATCCCCCGCGAGCTCTGTCGCAGTCCGTTTTCGGACATCGTCGAAGGTGAGGCGCGCGTCGGTGACTTCGTTCAAATACATTTCAATTTTACTTAATATAAATATTTTATGAATAGAAATACTTATTTTAGTTAATATCTGTACATTAGTAAATGGAAATATTTTTTTCTAAATAATAAATGAAGTTTATAAACAGCCCAAAGAAGATGAAAATTTTGCCGCGACGTTGACAGTGAAATTGAAAAATACATTTTTATATAATTTAGATGTGGAACGACCAACTTGTTGTCGTTACTTAGATTTCGATAGTTTTTAATACCTATGTAATTTTATTGCTGCATATTTTTATTAAGTAGGTGATACTGAATTTTATATTTATGTATTACAACAAAACGCTGTTTTTATGAGTATGACTTTAATAGAACATTATTGGGGTGGTAAATCTAGATACTTACTTATTATTTAGGTACACTATTATAAAATTAAATCAAACAATTTAAATTTAAAAAATGATGCTTCCCTAAGTGCTATATAAAAAGATTCACATAGCCCAACGGGTTTTTTAAGTGAAATGGCAATGGGCTGGCCATGTACCTTGGATTACCAATAAATAATAGGAAGCAAGGTTCTCTAGTGGCAACCTCGTACCAGTAAGCGCAGTGCGTATTATTCGTAGTAAGCAAATAAGGCTGTCCCTTATGTACTTACTACCAATACTCAATCTTTATTCCCCTTCAATTATTCTCATACGCTTTTTTTCACATACACACATACACACACACACACACACACGCACGCACGCACACACGCACGTACCCACGCACGCACACACACACACACACACACACACACACACACACACACACACACACACACACACACACACATACACATACAAACACACAAATTGGAAGCAAATAATATTCACCCACTTCTATTAGGCAAGAGTGAATATGATTTTGTTAAGTCAGTGCGCTTCACTATCTGGGCTACATAACCACTTACCATCAGGTAGGATTGTAGTTGCTCAATTACTAGCTATGTAAGTCGATAGTAAAAAAGAAATTTACCCTGTGAAAGTCTGCATTTAGATATAATTTTTCTAACCAACCATAAAAATGTAATTCGAGTGATAGGAATATAGATATAAGAATAAATGTTGCCTCACACGGGACAATAATAATATTATAATATATATTCCAGCATCTGCGCATGAAAACTTTTAAAAGTCTGAATCCTGATGTCCATATTAAGAGACTGAATAGAGCCACGTTGAACTGCATAAGGATGGTTTTGTGATTTCACATCGTTATCGAAAAAATTGTACTTACAATTAAGCGTATTTCAGGTGGCGGTTTGCAAAACACGATTTCACAAAATTCACGCAATAGAAAATAATTGCAAAGTACCTTCTGAAAATACTTAAATTTTCAACTTTTTCAGATTTCCACAAAATAATGGAGAGTATAATAAGTACAATTATTTGTCACATGTTAATAATACTACTGAGCTATTTTGATTTTTAATAAAGTGATTTAACTTCAAATTAAATAATTTATTTTGCCCTTCTATATCGTTAGTAGCGTTTTTACCGTCCTATTTGTATTCCTATTGAATTTGACGGTGCTCGCTGAAATTTAGCGTCTTTAGACGGATCTGAATCGCATGCTGACCCGGTTGTTAAGATATTGCAAAATAATCGAAAATATTTATTTTTACTTTCATGCTGAAGACTATCTTGTTCTATTTTATTACGGTCAAATAATTGTTCTTTAACTTGTTTATCAAGTATTTTCAAGTATTTACAAATATTTTCATTATTTTGTTATTCAATTGTTTATGCATGCAACACCAGGGGAACCAGGGGAATTGCAGATGCGTTGCCAGCCGTTTAAAAAGGAGTAGGCTCTTTTCTTGAAGGTCCCTAAGTCGTATCGGTCCGGAAAAATCGCTGATGGTAATCGGTTCCACAAAGAAGTAGTACGAGGAAGAAAACTCCTAGTAAAACATACAGTCGTGGACCGCCAAGCCTCCAGATGGTGAGGATGGTATTGGGAGTTCTGCCGCGATGTGCGTTCGTGAAATTTGGCGGCTGGGATTAATCGGAACAATTCCTCAGAGCACTCCCCGTGGTAAATGCGAAAGAAAATGCAAAGGGATGCAATATCTCTTCGCAGTGCCAATGAATCAAGCCAATCGGAAAAGACTCGGTCGTCGCTGGATGCGGTAAAGTGGAAGGAGCTGGCACTGGGGAGCCCCTGCCCAGAGTTGGGAACAGTATTCCATCTGAGGCCGAACCTGCACCTTGTAAAGTTGCAGGCGGTGTGCCGGCATGAAATATTGTCCCGTTATACTCAGCACGCCAAGCTTTTTAGAGGCCAATTTTTCCTTCTCTTCTTATTTTTATTTTTATTTTTATTTTTCTTTATAGGATAAGGGTGGAGCACACAGTCCACCTGATGGTAAGTAGTTGCTGTGACCCATAGACATCTACATATATTTTTGATTACGAATCAAAATGCAGATAAGTTGTCACCCGTGAAGACTAAGATGGAATGCCTCATTTCCAGTAAAAAGGGTCTCCGGTTCTCTACAATGACCATACGAAACACAGCAGCGTTAAGCTGCTATTTTACGCTGGTATTCTGTGAGAGCGTGGTCCTTCCCCGACCGAGCCGACCCATTCGTGCTACAACCATAACATAGCTGCAGCATGGCTCTATCACGTAAAAATATTAGTATTCCCCGTTTTACTAGAGAAAATATAATTTTCCCCAAATTGAATATATTAGCGCGAGGGTGCCTACTCCGTCTCCCTGTAATCCCCCGCGAGCTCTGTCGCAGTCCGTTTTCGGACATCGTCGAAGGTGAGGCGCGCGTCGGTGACTTCGTTCAAATACATTTCAATTTTACTTAATATAAATATTTTATGAATAGAAATACTTATTTTAGTTAATATCTGTACATTAGTAAATGGAAATATTTTTTTCTAAATAATAAATGAAGTTTATAAACAGCCCAAAGAAGATGAAAATTTTGCCGCGACGTTGACAGTGAAATTGAAAAATACATTTTTATATAATTTAGATGTGGAACGACCAACTTGTTGTCGTTACTTAGATTTCGATAGTTTTTAATACCTATGTAATTTTATTGCTGCATATTTTTATTAAGTAGGTGATACTGAATTTTATATTTATGTATTACAACAAAACGCTGTTTTTATGAGTATGACTTTAATAGAACATTATTGGGGTGGTAAATCTAGATACTTACTTATTATTTAGGTACACTATTATAAAATTAAATCAAACAATTTAAATTTAAAAAATGATGCTTCCCTAAGTGCTATATAAAAAGATTCACATAGCCCAACGGGTTTTTTAAGTGAAATGGCAATGGGCTGGCCATGTACCTTGGATTACCAATAAATAATAGGAAGCAAGGTTCTCTAGTGGCAACCTCGTACCAGTAAGCGCAGTGCGTATTATTCGTAGTAAGCAAATAAGGCTGTCCCTTATGTACTTACTACCAATACTCAATCTTTATTCCCCTTCAATTATTCTCATACGCTTTTTTTCACATACACACATACACACACACACACACACGCACGCACGCACACACGCACGTACCCACGCACGCACACACACACACACACACACACACACACACACACACACACACACACACACACACACACACACACACACACATACACATACAAACACACAAATTGGAAGCAAATAATATTCACCCACTTCTATTAGGCAAGAGTGAATATGATTTTGTTAAGTCAGTGCGCTTCACTATCTGGGCTACATAACCACTTACCATCAGGTAGGATTGTAGTTGCTCAATTACTAGCTATGTAAGTCGATAGTAAAAAAGAAATTTACCCTGTGAAAGTCTGCATTTAGATATAATTTTTCTAACCAACCATAAAAATGTAATTCGAGTGATAGGAATATAGATATAAGAATAAATGTTGCCTCACACGGGACAATAATAATATTATAATATATATTCCAGCATCTGCGCATGAAAACTTTTAAAAGTCTGAATCCTGATGTCCATATTAAGAGACTGAATAGAGCCACGTTGAACTGCATAAGGATGGTTTTGTGATTTCACATCGTTATCGAAAAAATTGTACTTACAATTAAGCGTATTTCAGGTGGCGGTTTGCAAAACACGATTTCACAAAATTCACGCAATAGAAAATAATTGCAAAGTACCTTCTGAAAATACTTAAATTTTCAACTTTTTCAGATTTCCACAAAATAATGGAGAGTATAATAAGTACAATTATTTGTCACATGTTAATAATACTACTGAGCTATTTTGATTTTTAATAAAGTGATTTAACTTCAAATTAAATAATTTATTTTGCCCTTCTATATCGTTAGTAGCGTTTTTACCGTCCTATTTGTATTCCTATTGAATTTGACGGTGCTCGCTGAAATTTAGCGTCTTTAGACGGATCTGAATCGCATGCTGACCCGGTTGTTAAGA